TCAGAGGCAGTGTGACTGGCACAGAATAGAGCAGGGTTTAGGGCTGTTGTACATAGGGTCGCTATGAGTCGCAAACGACTCAACTGCACATAACAACAACAATCAATATTAAAAGCTTTAGTGTTTGATGTTTTTCTTTTTCTTCAAGTCTTTTTCACATTCTGCAAGCAAGGTTGTGTCATCTGTTAGCACATACTTCTGCATCTAGACCAGCTTCTTGAATTTTATGCCCATTTTACAGATTGAATAGGTCATAAAGACATGTTGCATTGGGAAAATCTGTTGCCATGGGCCTTTTCAAAGTGCTAAAGAGAAAAGATGCCCATTTAAAGACTCAGATGTGCCTGATCCAAGTCATGGTATTTTCAGTTGCTTCTAAATGTTGGACAAAAGAATAAAGAAAAGTGAATAAGAAATGACGTCTTTGAATTGTGGTGTTAGAGAAGATTCTTCAATACCCCAAAAGAACAAACAAATCTGTCTTGGAAGAAATGCAATGAAAGTGCTCGTTTAGAGGTAAAGATGGTGAAACTTTGTCTCTCAAACTCTGGGCATGAGACCAGGAGGAACTAGTTCTTTAAAAAGACCCCATTCGGGGAAAGATAGCTGTCGATGTTATTGTTAGGTGCCATCAAGTTACGTACAACTCACAGTGACCCTATGAATGGCCAACCTGAACCCTGTCCTGTCCTGTGCCATCCTCATCATCTCTGACACACTAGAACCCATTGCTGAAGTCACCGTGTCAATCCATCTTGTTGGGGTCTTCGCCTCCTTTGCTGACCCTCTATATTTCCAAACACAATGTCCCTTTCCAAAAAATAGCCAAGCCTAGCTGCCTGTTCAAAGTATGAAGGACAAAGCTTTGCTGTCTTCACCTCCTAAGAGATAACTATGGTTGTGCATTTTCCAAGACACACATTTGCTCTATTGGCAGTCCATGGGATATTCAATACTCTTCTCCAGCACTACAACTCCAAGGCATCGATTTTTCTGCCATCTTTATTCAATATCCAGCTCTCTGATGCATAGCAGATGATTGAGAAGATCATCGTATGAATCAGACGCACCTTAGTCTTCAAACTGACATCCCTGCTCGTCAGTATTTTTTTTGAAAGATCCCTGACAGCAAACCTGACAATGTAAAATGTCTCCTAATTTCCTGATTGCTGGTACCAAAGGTGTTGATTTTGGGTCCAAGGATGATGAAATTACTGACAGCTTCAATCCTTTCTCCGTCAATCATGTTAGCTGCTAGCCCTATGGCAAGGATTTTTGTTTTCTTGGTGTTGCGATATAATCCATATCGAAGGCTGTAATCCTCGATCTTCTGCAGCAAGCGCTTCAGGTCCTCCTCACTTTCAGCCAGCAAGGTTGTGTCATCTGCATAACACAGGTTGTGGATGAGTCTTCCGCTGATCCCCACGCCATATTCCTCTTTATAGGATCCAGTTTCACAACTTATTTGCTCAGCATATAGATTGAATAGGTATGGATACAACCCTGACACACACCTTTCCTGATTATAAACCGTGCAGTGTTTCCATGGTCAGATCAGACAACAGGTTCTGAGGGCCAGAGAGAGAGGAAGACCTTTAGACCTTTAAAGAGATGGTTTGACACAATGACTGCAACACGTATGTCAGAGATGCTGAGGGAGGCGGGCACAGGACAGCGCAAGGTTCTAAGCTGTTGTTGCCAGAATAGCCATGCATTGTAGCTAACATGAAAGCACCTTAGTAGTAGTAATAACAGTAATCCCAGGCAATGCTTTGGTATTAGCCATACATTAGAAAACTCTTTTCAGATCCACTGCAGATGCTGGGTAAAGGATATTGGGATGATATTACCACTTCAGATGGTAAGGGTATTGGGACCCAGGCTGCTCCAGCAGCCTCGCAAATTGATGTTGCCATTACCCCCTCTGCTGATTGACCCAATGAAAAAGCCCTGTTCGCACGTTTCAGAGGAGAATCTTGAGAATAGGGGTCACTGCACCGAATGAGTGACCGTTCTGAGGTCCTGACAGCGCTGACATTTCGAGAAGGAAATGTCAGGGCGGACATGGAAGAGTGGACACTGGCTAGCGTGCCTTGATGGCCGCGGGTAAGAGCCCCTTCCTGGCGTTCTTTCTAGCGCAGGCCTTTGTTTGTGACCCGGGTAACAGTGGAGATCTGCTCTGTTCTATTCATCACTTCCTAGTGGTTAGCAAGCCAGACGAGGGGTATTTAAACGCTGGAGAGCACGAACAATTAAACCCGGGGCTGAAACCTTAGTCTGGCGGGAGGTGTCCTGTTGCTTCTGGTGTAACAGACCCCTGCGTACTGGAGTCAGGTGAGGGCCTCGGCAGGTTTCTGGCCGCAGCTGGAGTAAACACGGGAGGCAGAGGGGACGGGACCAGGGGGCTGCTCCGGAGCCATGCGCGCCGCAGAGCTGACCTTGGCCTCCTCCTGGCGCAGCGCGGAGCCCTTGGCCATGACCTCGCGCGCCCACTAGCATGCCTGCATGGTTCAAGAAGGCGTGGTACGGGCTGGCGTCTGTGCTCAGCTTCTGCTCCTTCGTCCTCATCATCGTCGCCTTGGCCGTGCCCCACTGGCTCAGCGGGAAGATCCTCTGTCAGACCGGAGTGGACCTGGTCAACGCCACGGACTCGGAGCTGGTCAACTTCCTCGGGGACATTTACTACGGGCTCTTCAGCGGCTGTAAGGTGCGGCAGTGCGGGCTCGGGGGCCGCCAGTCCCGGTTCACTAGTGAGTATGAAAATCCACCCCCCTCCACCACCCATACCTCCTTGTCAGCATTTGGGGGGTGCTTTATGTCCAAGTGGGGCGTGCAACAGCTGCCTGGGTCCAGGGCTTAACGTCACAAAGAGGCGAGAGTGAGTTCTCCGGCAGTTTCAGGAAGAGAGATTTCTTTTCTGTAGAGGACCATCGAGACATTACAAGGAGTTTGCCTCTGTAGTTCTTACGTCCCATCCAGTCGAACAGACTCATATGAACAGCAGATCTGTATCCTGTCCTATCCTATGCCATCCTAATCATCTCCAACACACTCGAGCCCCTCACTGCAGTCACGGTGTCAGTCCACCTGGCTGAAGACCTTCCTCTCTCTCATAAACCCTCCACCTGTTCAAGCATGGTGTCCCTCTCCAAGGAATAGCTTCTCCCAGCAACCTGCCAAAGTATGTGAGAGCTTGAAGCTTCACCATCCTTGCCTCCAAGGAGCCCTCTGGCAGTCCGTGGGATAGACAGAGGGTCAGAGAGGAAGAGGAAGACCCCCAGTGAGGTGGATTGACGTCGTGACTGTGACAACGGGCTCCATCCATCAGGAAACGGTGAAGTGTGTAGCGTAGGGCAAGGCTTTAATCTGTTGTTCATAGGGTCTCTAAGTGTCACAGTTTCACAACACCTAACACCAGCATTCATTCATGAGTAAGAGCTATTAAGTATGGGTAATAACCATTCATAATCATGAACTTGGAGAAACGATCAAAGTTATACAAGTGGTCTTTCGTCCATAGGGTACTATGAGTCGTCCACGACTCGATGGCACTTAACAACAACAATAATACTGAAATATTGAAGAATCAGCTCAATGGGAGTTGTCCTTGTATGTGCCTTCAAGTCAGAAATGACCTAACGCTGAACCTCTAGTGAGTTTTCAGAGGCAGTAAACAACACAGCAAGAGACTGCCCATCCTTCCCCATAGCAAGATGGATTCGTACTGCATGCTTTGGGAATTGCAGCCCTGCTTCTTACCACTAGATCACCAGAACTCCAAAGACAATTGTCGTTGTTATGTGTTGACTGTGACTCAGCAATCCTATAAATAAGCTCTCAATCCTACCTTATCTTGAGCCAATCTCACTGTCTCTGAACATTTGCTTCCATTGCCACAGTCATCGTGTCAATCTTTCTCATCCAAGGTCTTCCTCTTTGGTACTGACCCTCTACACTTCTAAGCATGATGTCTTTCTCCAAAGACTGGTCCGTCTTAGCATCATGCCCTAAGTATGTAATACAAAACTTCAAAATTCTTGCCTCCAACAAGCAACCTGGTTTCACCCTCTCCAGGAATATCTACCTGTTCATTCTCTTGGCAATCTGTGGTACGTTAAATACTCTTCTCCAACACCACAATTCAAAAGCATCTATCTTCTTCTGTCATCCTTAGTCACTGTCCAGCTCTCAGATGTATACCAAGTAATGGAGAAGACCAAGGCCTGGATCAGGCGCACCTTAGTTTCTAGATTGGCAATATTACTCTTGAGCATTCTGGAGTGGTCCCTACAGTGGACTTTCCAAATGCAACTAGTCTTTTGATTTCCTGACTGCTGGAGCAAAGAGTTGTGGTTGTGGATCTGGGTAAAATAAAATTGTTAACAACCTCAATCCCTTCTCCATCTACCAGTTGGTACAGTGGAGAGAATCTTAAGTTTTATTGATATCGAGATGTAAGTAATCCCTATTGAAGATTGTAGTCCTTGACTTTCTGCAGCAAACTAGATTCTTCTCAGTTTTAGCAAGCAAGGTTGTGTAATGCAGGTTGTTGATAAGTCTTCCTCCGATCCACATTCTTCTTCATAAAGTGCAGCCTTTCTGTTTCCATAGTTTCTGTATCCATTCAATTGTTGATGTGTTGTTTCCTGAGCTGTTCCCCTCTTTGCTATTCTGAATCATGCTGTGATAAATATGGATGTACATCTTTCTCTTTGTGTTGCAGCTCTGATTTCTCTGAAGTATATTCTCAGTAGCGAAATAGCTGGGTCAAATGATATTTCTATTTCCAGCTTTCTGAGGAAGAGCCAAACTGCCCTCTGCAGTGGTCATACTAAGGTTCCCATTTTGCAGTGTGAACACTGAGGCTTAGAGAGGTTGCCAAGTCAGGAAACAGTAGAGTCTGAGAGCAAACCCAGGTAGCCTGGCCACAGCACCTGCTTGTTCTCATCTAAAGTCACTGGCAGAGACGAGCCTGCTGAGAGCCTGGTAACCGTGCTGGCCATTCTCACACACAAGCTGCCCAGCCCGAGACAGAGTAAAGCTTTCACCCCTGGGCTCTGATGTTCCTCCCTGGCAGGGAGACGTCAGACATGACACTTGGCTGTCCGTGGGGAACGTGAGAGGCACGGAACTAGCTGGCATTGAGAGCGCAGGACAGATGACGCAACTCAGCCAGTCAGGAATCCATCTAGGGCTTGAGAAGGGTCCTCCGAGAAGACAAGCCAAAATAGGGGTTGGGGGGGAAAGAGACTAGAAATCTTCAGGGAGAGCTGGTGGCTTAGTGGTAAGGAATTGTGTTGTCATTGCAAAGGTACAGGGTTCCAATCGCGCTTGGTGGGAGATTTACTGCCTCTGAAAGCCCCCTGGAGGATAAGCTACAAACAATAAATTAACAATGATAAACAAACCTTCAAAATGGACCACCTAGGTCATTGGCAAGCACAGTCAGTACGCCCATATTGTAATTAACTAGCATCATGCTCAATAAAATGATAAAGAATCTCCCTCATTATTTAATTTCTATATTTCATATCGGTGATAGATTTTGGAAGCCTGGCCTGGAAATATCTTCTTAAATGTGTAAAGAAAAAAAAGCTGGAACCATTGACAGATAGCCTAATAATACTAATTGGTACCATTTGTATGCATGGAAAAATCCCATATTTATTTTATGTGTTCAATAACAAAATATCAGTGGAATTCAAAGGTTAGTTAGTTAGCTATATTGATGACTGTAAATCAAAACCATAAAGACCCTTTTTTCATTCTTTGATTTATTTATTTCATTACCCATAGTTTTCAGAAATTTAACCAATAGTATCTATCAGGATAAGGCAAAGTTCAGATCCATGGCTCATAGGATCCAGAAGAGTCATAGTAGACTCAACAGCACATAGCAAGAGCAACAACTTATGCACAGAGGACATCCATATTTGTTATCCATGTTCATGAACAAAAGACGTAAAATTTGAAAGCCAAGTCCATTTCTGCAGCGTCCATTCCTACTCCTTGTGACTGTCCCCCTGGTTTCCAAAGCTATAAAGCTTTATGAGAGAAAACGGTCTTAGCTGCTTCCCACAGAGCAAGTGATTTTTCAATTGCTGTTCTTGTTGTGAGCCGTCAAGTAGGAACAAACTGCTATCTGACCCTCCAGCAGGTTTTGAGAGGCAGTAAATCACCTAGGAAGAGATTGCCCATCCTTCCTCATGGTGCTGCTGGTGGATACGAACCTATGTCTTTGGGATTGCAACACAGCTTTTTGCCAATAGGCCATCAGAGCTCCCTGATCTTTGCATTAACAGCCCAGTTTGTATCATATTATGCCACCAAGACTCCGTAATGGCACACGTTCGTTATATTGATAGCCTTGCATGCACTGGCCTGGAATCTCTGTGTAGATATACCTTCCAGCTCTACATGACTTTCTCCAGTTTTCTTCGTGTGGTTCCTTTCTCTCCATTTTTACTACTCTGGAGAAGACATTACTAGAAATTACTTTTATAACTATGAAAGCAACCTCATTTTTCTTTACCTTTTCACCTCCAAAGTAATAGATCATATGATCGTCCCACTCAAAATGCCCCATGCCATTCCATCTTATCTCATCAATACCTAATATGTCAATATTTATGCATTCAATTTATTTCTTAAAAATATCTGATTTTTCTACATTCATGGTTCTCACATTCCGTGTTCCAATCACTAGCGTCTGCTTACAAGTGTTCCTCTTTCTTTGTATTTCCATACTTGAAAGCTCCACCTCAGTTGCCCTATCTGTTAGTCTACATGTGATCTATTGTACATAGGGTTTTCAGAGGCCTGCTATTTTGGATGTAGATCACTAATCTTTCTTCCTAGTCTCTGTCATAATCTGAATGCTCAGATTTAGCTGCTCCTTGGAGGCAAAGGATTCTGAAGCTTCCTCTGAAATACTTTGGACATGTTGCAAGGAGGGAATAGTCCTTGGAGAGGGACAGCATGCTTGGGAGGGTGAAGGGACAATGCAGGAGAGGAAGACCCTCTATGAGGTGGATTGATTCAGTGACTGGGGTAATGTGGGTTGGTGTGTCAGAGACAGTGAGATTGGCACAGGATAGAGCAGGGTTTAGGGCTGTTGTACAGAGAGAGGGTTGCTATGAGTCAGAGGCAACTCGATGGCACATAACAGCAAAAAGAAATCAACAAAAAGAACAACAGAGAAGAAATCGTATGCTCATTTTACTGATGAGAAGATTGAGGGATCAGAGAAATCAATAAATATAATTACTTCGGGAAAAGTACCTATATAGTCCCCATCAACAACCAGGCCCTGTATCCGACTTCAAATTCCAATATTGGCAAAACAAAAAGACAAAAAACCAAAAAAACTCCACAAAACCTCAGAATGAAAACTCTTTGCTGTTGAATTAGTGCCACCTCATAACTGACCTCGCAGCTGGTTTATAGAGGCTACAAATTGTACAGGAAGATGTTGGCGGATATGAGGGCCATCTGGCTGCGACATCTGTCACCCCATTGACCTCCAGGGTTGATTCGGTTGATCTGGCTGTCAGGCGGGTGTCCTTCCCTCGCCGATCCATGTGCGTCCCTCCCGAAGCCACGCTCTGTTGAAAAGGATGACCATTCCCAATGGAAGGAAGACCATCCTTCGGTCAAGGGTGTATGAGTAGCTGTGCTCTCCTGCTAGAACCTCCAAACAAGCTCTCAAGGAGGATATTGGCTATCTTGCTCACAGCTGGTGGTTTCAAAC